GCCAGAGAAGTGGGGGGTGTGGACAAGCTGGCATGAGAGTGGACACCCCCAGAGGCCCTAGAGAAAAGAAGGAGCCTGAGCAGCCAGGGGAGCTCCATCAATAACTGCCCCAAGTTGAGGTGCCTACTTACTCTGACCAATAAGCTTCACTTGAGTGCAACGCAGCCTCGCATTCTGACAGACACTGGAAAGAACAGGGAACCATGAGTGGAACAGATAGAAGGAGCAGCCGCTTGCTCTGCACGCCCAGAGCAGGGGCAGAGAGGACACAGCCAATATCTCAGCTCCTCCCAGACTGGAGCCAGAAGCTTCCCCGGCAGTGCCCTCGGATCCGTCCCTGCCACCACCCTGGTACCAGAGGCAAAAGCAGAAAGAATCCCACTGGGCCAGGCTTGAGGCTATTAGCTACAAGACTATGCCACAGCGGCCCTCACAGCTCCAAACCGAGCCACGCTGGGGCAAAGCAGACGCAAGGGAGCGGGGCCCTTCCTTCCCCTGCATCCTCCCCCAAGCAGTCAAACCTCTGTCCAGGTAGCTGCCCCAAGAGACCCTCCCTGATTCCCTTCTCCCAGCCCCGGTGAAGGATGAATGAGCAGAGCCCAGCGGGCACCCACCAGCGCTCATCCTCCTTCAGGATCACTTCTCCTGCTTCAAGGTACAAGCCTCTGTGGTAGCAGGAGCATTTCGAGAGGAGCACACAACGCCCTTTCTCATCCACGTAGGTGCCCTCAGGACAGCCGCAGCCATCCACAGGAGCAAAGCCCCTGAGACAATGCTTGTCTGCCTCGGAGAGTGAACGGCAGGTCTGCTGGCACGTGGTCAGGTTGTACAGGAAGATTTGGGAGTTGGGACAAGACGCAACATCCTTGTCTGGGTGGGAAAATGTGAAAAATAGTGAGTGATCCAGAAAGTAATCGATACCCAGCCAGTAGGCTGAGCCGAGCAGAGCAGCCAGTCACCTACATCTCTCCGATATCTGAATCTGGCAGAAACATCACCTGCCAAAGGGACAGGCCAAGCTAGAATTCTACCAGACTTTTCTCCATCTCGTCCCTGCAGAGGCTAGACTTGGAGAGCGCTGGCACCAGGGGCCCCTGCTCTGTCTCGCTGCCCCACAAGCCTCCGTCAGAGAGCATCGTGCTGGGGGCGGGGGCGGGGGCGGGGGGGGGAGGGCGGCTCATTGCTGAGATGCTGGGGCCAGGGGCCAACCTTCAGGTCCTTGAGGACAGAAGCTTAAGTCTCATTGCCATCTTTCTATCCACACGAAAAGCACCTCTCTGCTTTTCCCAGAGTGGAGCTGAGACAAGGCGTTGCTGGCACTTTGGGCGTTACATGTGCAAGGCTGCCTTAACTCCGCTTGAGCAGATTTGCTTTCTAGGACATCTTTAGAAATCCCTGCAAGCTCCAGCAAGGAAACGTGAGGATTTGCACATGAGCAGATGGCATTGGGCTTCTCGGGGAGCTCTCAGGTGTGGTATTCCTCTCCCTCGCCCCATGCCCAAGAACTCAGGTCAGTGGCCACGGCCGCGATGGAGCCTCAGATGTCACTGTGTCCTCCCCTCCCCCATCACGGCCGGCCAGTGGTGGATGGAGCTGGTACTTACTGCAGACTCGCTCCCGCCAGCCCCACAGCATGACCCCCTTGGTAGAGCAGGCTCTGGCGTAGGAGGAGAGAGCGGCACACATGCAGTCCTCATTGTTCTGACAGTTGCAGGTGTCATATTTGCACCTCTAGAATCACAACACAAGGAAAATGAGGGTTAAGGACCCCTGGGGATAGAGGATAGAGGAGCCGAGGGCTAGGAAGAATTGCGGTGACCACCGAGAGTCTTTCTCCCCTTCTCCCTCCCTGCCAGGCTTGGGTTTCCGGAGGCTGCTGAGCCCCCTAGGATCAATACAACCCTGGAGAGACTGGACAGACCCAGCCACAAACAGGTCACCTTTCCTGCCAGGGTGGGGCAAACAGTCCAGCCTCTCTGAGGTTGCCCACCCTGGCTAGCACATCGGACAGAGCACCCCACTCCAAGAGGAAATCCCCAGGGAGCTCCTGAGATCAACCCGTTCGATCCCCTCCAGAGGGAGACGCAGAGACCTCACCTGCTGCTCAGCTCCTCATACAGGTGCAAATGCCTATCGTGGGGGGAGCTCTCACCCATATTCTTTGCACTGTCTGGAACGTTTCTCCCCCTCCCCCTTGTGCCAGACCTGTTTCTCTGCCCCCTTCTTCAAGGTCCATCTCAAATGCCACTTCTCTCGTGAAGCTTCCCAGATTCCCTTCTCTGTGAGCACTCCTCCACCGAGCCCGGAGTCAGCTAACTTCTCTCGGCCCCAATTTCTACACCATGTAGTTGATAGAGGACTGGACCCGAGACCAGGGAGATCTGAATTCAAATCCGGCCTCAGACTCTTACTAGCTGGATGACCCTGTGCAGGTCACCTACCTCAGTTTTCTCAACTATGAAATGCGGATAATAACAGCACCTGCCTCCCAGGGTAGTTGTGAAGATCAAACCAGATAATATTTGGTGCCACTCAGCACAGAGCCTGGCACATAGTAAGTGCTTAATAAAGGCCTGTTCTCTCCCTCGCTTCCAGCTCCTATGATCTCCTATGTTCCCCTTGTGCCAGACTTTGTACTAGTGAAGCTATGGAGGATGGAGAAGTGATGGGGTCCGGGGACATGTTTGTTTCCATCTCTCAGGATAGCACCACCCACCTTGTGGTACTTAGGTCTACAGCACGGCCTTCACCATCCCAAACTGCGGCCCCCACTCTGTGAGGCCTGCCTTCCACCCAATCAGCATCAGTAAATGTCTTCAGTACCAGACTGGGTCAGACCAGCCTGGCCCAGACTGAAGCGAGCTGTAACGGATTGAATCCCAGCTCTCTCACCTTGTAATATTCCCCAGGATCCACAACTGAGTGGCACCTGGCAAAGGGAGTTTCTGTCTTCTTCAGCAGCGAGCACCAATGCTCTGCATAATTGGCTGAGGAGGAAGGAGAAGAGTGGAGGGAAGGGGTGGTTAAATTTCTCAGGTCCACAGAGAGACCCAGGAGCTCTGGGAACCCCATTCTGCTATCACTGCACACTCATCATCTTCAGAGATGGGGGAGGGGGAGAGAGAGGGACAGGAAGAGGAAAGAGGGAGAAAGAGGAGAAGGAGGGGGAGGGAGGGAGAGAGTATATGTGAAAGTGGGTGTGAGTGTGAAAGTGTGTGTGAGTGTGTAAGAATGGGAGTGGACCCAAGGGGTGGGGCAGAAATCAGGGCGGACACTGTTTCAGGTCTATCTATTCCAGGAGAAGGAAAGGGGCACAGCACCAGCCTGCACTCCTCCTCATACTGCGGCTGTAGCCCAGGAAGCACACTGCACTGTGACTGGCCTGAGTCCTAGCCCCTCAGCTTGTGCCCCTCAGCAGAGCATCCTCTGGGCTCTTCTCTACCCATATGTGCCAAAGGAGGCCATCGGGATGGGAAGTGCAGGCAGGCAGACCTGCCGAGCTCAATTTTGAATGGAAAGCTTGGCCACCACCTGCTTCTCCTGGACAAACCACCCTGGCCCAGACCACTTGCCATCCCAAGTGGGCATCCACGTGCTTGGCAGCTTGCTGGAGATAAAGGACCCGGACGTGAAGAGGGGCAGACAAGGGCTCGGAAGGCAGAGCCAACCTTACCATTCTCAATGTTGAGAGAGCAAGGGTCATCCAGCCAGTCTAGTTTGTCATGGCAGCTGGACTGGGCCTTCCAAGTGTTAGCAAAGCCAGAGCCAGTGGCCTCGATGAGGCCTCCTGCCGTTTTGAAGTCATCACTTTCCAGACCGTTGAAATTCCCACAAAGACCTGAAGCAGAAAGCAAAGGAAGCAGATGGGAGGCAGGCAATCCAGGAGGGCAGCCCCCAGGCCCAGGTCTGGGGCAGACTACAGAGAGAGTACCCGAGAGCCCCCACCTTGAACTTTGCCCTGGAAAGCCTGGTCCATGGTCATAAACAGCTGCATGAGTGGCACCAGCTGGATCTGCAACCTGAGGCCGTAGGCTGTGTGCACGATGAGGTGGTAGGAGGAGGGCTTGAAGATGGAGAAGCTTGCTGCAAGTCAAAGTGACAGGGGAAAACAGGAGTCACTCTTTGAGAGGGCAATAAGCCAGGAAGGGAAGAAGGCATCGATCTCGCACTGGGGGCCTTGGCCTGAGTCCTGCCTTTGGGACCCTGGACAAGCTGGCTTCTCTCCCTTCTTCAGCTTGCCTACCTGCAGAGTGGGGTGACTTGCCTTCCCCAACAGCCCAAAAGCTGTTGCTACTCCCTCCCCCAAGCAACAGCTGTGAAGGCCTGCTTCAGGAGTTGTGGACAGCTCCAGAGTAATGCTATGACACTTGACGCTTACTAGCCGTGTGACCCTGGGCAAGTCACTTAACCCCAATTGCCTTAAAAAAAGATGTTGTGGATGTCCAAGATGCATCCTCAGAAATTCCCCAAAGTCCTTCCCTCCCTCACTAGGATGGGGCTTCCCTGCCCCTTCTGCCTGCTCTGCTTCTGGGCTCTGCATGACAGAGGGAATATAGACTTTGCCCCTGCCTTCGGTGGCCAGGCTCACCAGCGATGTGTGGCAGGTGGACTTCCAAGTCGTTCAGGAGCACTCTGCCGTCAGACTTGAATGCCACAATCTGCAGGAAATAGAGGAGGCAGGACAGTCCTAATGAGACCAGCAGCCCCCACTGCGCAGCCCCAAGGGAGGTGATGGGAGGTGGCCAGGCCCACGTTTCAGTTCCATCTACTCCAGGGCTTTGGAGGAGGGAAGGGGCTTGAGGAGGTGAGTGATGTCCTTGGATTGGAGAAGCTTCACTGAGTTGAGCTCTCTGGCTCTGTAGCATTCAGAGAGATGCATGACCATGCTCACCACCAGGCAGCCTGACACATGGGTATCCTGGATACTGAGTTCAGGTGAGAGCCTGGCCACGTAGCTGCAGCATAGCCCCCTGGGCTTACCCATCCCATAAGATCTTAACATATGTCAGATGACACAGCCCCCTGGGAGCTATGTCTCCTCCAGGGCGGGTGTCACCCTAATTAAACGCCTCCAGAGGTTTTATAGGCCACATGGCATCTGACAAGAGCCTGTTGAACTAAAATCTGAGGAGGTACCTGCCCTGTATGTCCTGGGACCCCACAAAGCTCCTGTGCTAGTCCCTCATGGCTGGACAAGGTCTGGCATCGTCAGCCCCTGGGAGCTAACTCTGGAGAAGCCAGCCAGGTGAACGGGCTGGGGCCACCCATGGGCAGAGAGGGACACTCACATTCTTCTTCTTGTCAGTCAGCAACACCACCGTCTTCAAGCAGGTCTGCTTGTCTGTGGAACCACAAGGTGCCAGCTCTCCCAGGAGGGCATAGGAGTCATTGCTGTCCCCCTGCACCAAGGCGAGTAGAGGATGCTGCTAAAGCTGGGACCCATGAGAAGCCCTGGGTGGACCCAACGTGTGCCCTCTGGTCCCCATAGGTGCCCCAAGAGGTGCTGGTTCTGACCCACCAAGAGATCCAAGCCTGAGTCCCTGCCCCAGTCAAGCTCCTGGTCATGCAGGGATGAGATGCAAATGCAATGGCCCATGACCCCAGCCTCCAAGAGGGGCAAGCACAGTCCTCTGTGCAGGGCCGAGGACATAATCCTCAAAGGGTGGGTAAGGATTCACCAAGTGAAGAAGGGCCAGGGAGGGCATCACAGGTAGGGGGGATGGCCTGAACAAAGGTGTAGAGGTGGGGCAATGCAAGGCATGTTTGGAAGGCAAACAATTCTCCTGGTCAGCTGGAATCTAGTGTGTGCGGAGAAGAATTTTATAAAGAAGGCTGGTGGCAGGCTATGGTGGAGAAGAGATGCCAAGCAGAAACCTCAGAATGTAACTTGAGAACAATTAGGAGCTACCGGAGGCTTCTGACCTCTAGAAAGTCCTTCCAGTCAAAAGAAATTTCATATTTCTGCCAATGAAGTATTATTCTCTCTAGGACTTTTGGTCACCAAGACTTTCTTAGACATCATAACAGAGGGATCAACCTTGACCATCATCATAGGAGGTCCCAGAGAGCATTGAAGTGGGCAATGTGTCCATGGTATGGAAGATGAGGGATGAAGGGAAAGGGGACCTTCCGCCCCAAGATGTGGCCTCCCAGCTGGCTGACCTCCCAACAGCTCTTGTAGGGAAGGGAAGGGGAGAGGGAACATGCATTTATACAGCACCTATTATATACCAGCCTCTGTGCTCAGGATTTTTACAAATATGATCTCATTTGGTCCTTACAACAACCCAGGGAGGTAGATGCTATTATTATCCCTATTTTTCAGTTGAAGGAACTGAGGCAGACAGAATATAAGTGACTTGTCCAAGGTCATATAACTAGTAAGTGTCTGAGGCTGGATTCGAACTCAGATCTTCCTCACTCCAGCTCTCTGTGCACTGTGGCGCTCTCTAGCTTCCCCGCAGCGTATGTAAGCAGAAGAGCCAACAAGGTGGACACAGCAGTCTCCTCTAAACTCTGTGATTCCTCAATGCCTAATAGCGCTTTGGACCCAGTGGTCCAAAGTGAAGGACCAGTGGTTCCTTCATCAATGTTTCACTGGATGGATGAATGGATGGATGGATGGATGGATGGATGGATGGATGGATG